TTAATTTCTATAGTATTTCAATGATTTAATTACTTCATTTGTTTATCTTACTAAAAGAATTGCTTCAAATATGTTAAACTTTTCAAACTACGCGAAACATAAAATAGGTATTGAAAAAATTAACTTTATTATTTATAAAATAATTGAACTTAAATAAAACTAAAACTTGCAAACTTTGTTAAATAAAGAATATTTGTTTCCTTTTTAAACAATCGCAAGTTGTTACTTTATATAAAAAACATCGCTTAATTTTATAAAAAAAATTATAAAAGAGCGATGTTTCGAAAATATTTGTTCTAAACGTAATTTATTTAGCTTTAAGTTTTTTCACGTTTAAAGATTTCGCGTTTAAAAATTTACCTAATTTTTTTTTTGCTTTTTAAAATGTTCTCAAAACAACAAAAAATCTGGCCAGCTTTTCGCAACTAAATATTATTTACGTGGTCAGCAGTCGAGACCGATCGCTCCCGCTTCCCGACCAAGCCTGCAACATGGTTTTTTAAAACATAAATCATGTGTCACAGTATAGTAGAATCTATGGACTTGATAGCATATTACTTATCCCAAAATTTGTCAGTAGATATTATTTTTTTTAGATTTCGCTAAGGCCTTCGATTAAGTACCACATTAGAGATTATTGTTAAAATTATCAGCTTATAATATAAAAGACAAATTATTGAAGTGGATTGCAGATTTTTTATATTCACGAAAACAACGAATTCTTATGGGTGATTTTATATCAATTTGGATGATGGTCTTGAGCAGTGTTCCACAAGGTTCTGTGCCCGGGCCAATTTTATTTATCATTTTCATTAATAATTTGAATGAAATCATCTCAAATAATTCAAAATATTATACTGATGATTCAAAGATATTAGCTGAAGTAAATAACTTGATACAATGTTTATCATTACAAGGCAATATTAATAATGTTTTAAAGTGGTGAAAAGACTGGTTAATTAACTTAAACGTCAACGAATATGTTATGTACATTGGCAAACAGAATTTAATGTACAATTATAGTATAAATAAAGTAGATGACACACAACTAGTCTTAGAATCGTCGAATGAAGACTATAAGATTGGATTTGAAATTATCATTAGAATCGTCGAATGAAAAAGTTGAAATGAAAAGCGTAAGTGTTAAACGTATGTAATAAAGCAAATGCCATAATTGGTCTGATAAAAAAAAACATTTAGCATAATAAACATACAAATGATTGAAATTTTGTATAAATCATATATACAACCACATTTAAAATATGCAAGTGTAATATGGTGTCCCTAACTGACAGGAGATATCCAAAGGCTGGAAAGAATTTAACGCAAAGTAACAAAATACCCTTCAGAATTAAATAATTTATCGTACGAAGAACGCCTTACATATTTGAGTTTAAAGAGTTTGGATATAAGACAACAGTGTGGAGACTTAATCCAAATGTATAAAATTGTTCATGGTTATGAGAAAATTTAATGGTCAAACTTTACGTTTCTAGTTATTGATAAACCTGGGATTCATACACGTAGGCAAGGGCATAAATTGAATATTGAACTAATAAAAAATTGTCCAGCAAGATTCAACTTTTTTACAAACAGAGCTGCAAAATTGTGGAATACCTTAAAAACGGAAGATGCTAATGCAATATCATTAAACTCATTTAAGGCTATTTTATTGTCCAGACATGATTACTAACATTTACATTCACAATGGTATTGTAGCCAGCAATGTTAACAATTAAATGCTTATTTGGTATTTTGTGGTTGTCGTACAAAAGAAACAGCTTTGTTTGTATGGCTGTTTATAGTAACAGTTGCAATAACCTAGTGATAGGTTCTGCAGGGATACATTATCTGTTTCAACATCAATATATTATTAAATATTAGCATTTGGAAGAAAATATAATTTTAAAACTTATTTTTAATTGAGAAGAAACGTGCTTCAAAATGCAACAACATTTATAAAAACAGTACAGTCGTACTTATTACCAATAAATCGTGTTGGCTTTTTTTTTATTATGTTTAGTGAATTTAGGTAACGCACTGTAGTGTTTAAAAAACTACAGCTTTTTTTAAACACTACAGTGAGTAATATGTAACGCACTGTAGTGTTTAAAAAAATTATATAACGCACTGTAGTGTACTCATTATTTAATGAAGTGTATACTACTTTAAATGCTTTTTAAAGCTTTCAAACTGTCTAGTCGTCCTGCCGGGCTTAAGACAAACATTTTTTAAAAAAATTAAGTCATCCTTGGAGAAAACGAATTGTCCTGTACCATCAGACAACCATGAGGATCCACCCCTGTGGGGCGGATCTTCTAATGATGCCCTTTCTCGTAATGTTGCTTCTTATTCTCTTTCTACAAATACTATAATGGGCACTGCTCTAAAGAGCTAGTGTCCATTGTGCCATCTACTAAAATTCATTTGCGTGTTACTCGCCATTCAATTAAGTCTCATCCTTTTTCTGTGACTTTTTCCAAAAACTCTTATTCCTTAAGTTTTTTTCCTCGAACATCAGTTCTTTGGAATTCGCTTCCTTCACCTTGCTTTCCTGATTTATATAATTTATCTTTTAAGTCGTCTGTCAATCGTTATTTTGCTCTACAATCTTTATCTTTTCTCTTCCAGTAACTTCCAACACTAATTAGTGGCTGCTTGCAGCCTTGTTGGAAGCGAAGATGTTTAAAAAAAAAAAAAAAAGCCTACCCATATAATTTAATGTCAAAAGTAATTAAAAGTGATGTATTTTGACAACAAAATACATCACTTTTAATTACTTTTGACTCCAAAAGATTTCATGCTTGTTGTCTAAAAGTTAAAACCATTAATTTAACTGCAAAAAAATTGTTTTTTAAATTACCAAAAAATTACAATTCTAGTCATTTAATATGACTATGTTAAATTTTTTTAATGCAGAATGTGTAATTTTTATTTTTTTAATATTTTATACTGTTTTTATTTTTAATTTTATTGTTTTATTATTTTAGTGTACATACATTAGCTCAAATATTATTAAACAAAAAATTTCCTTATCTAATACTATTAAACAGAATTATATGAAGATTTGAATTATCTGCTGCTACATCTGCAACTGTATCTCCTTTTTTTCAAGATTTGATCAAACCAATTATTTGACAAAAATTGCCTAATTTAACATGTGACCTAAATATATTTAAAGAGCCATGCAAGAGGGGAAGGGTTTCACCACAAAAACTAATTATTGAATTACCTGTTAAAGGTATATTTGCAGATTGAAGAAAAGATCCCACTTTGATTTTGATTGAAGATACAATTACGAAAAGGTTTAATTAAAAGATAAAAAAGCAAGAAAATAAAAGTGCTACTTTTAAACCAGAATATAGCTATTTGATCCACTATACACCTTCAAAAAGTTCAAACAAACCAGCCAAAAAAGCAGATATTAGACTTTATAACTAGATGGTTTTCAGAGGAATTGATCAAACTATAATTTTGATTGGCTCGGACTCTAAAATTTAATGACTAAATTTGGTAAAGATGGTGGATTACTAAAAAGAAACTTTTGCAGTCAATAAGGTTTGAAGAGATTCAGAACTAGGTGATGCTAAATCCATTGACTGAAGTAATGAACAATCTTAGAGCCGAACTTTATTATTCAAAAATAGTGCGCATAGATGTTGTTATATATCTGAAATCTAAGAAAGGTCTAATGTTTAGTTGATATTTAAAGCTTAATTGAAACATTTATTGTCCACCATATTGCAGGTATATGTACAATAATTTCAAATCATCTAAATATTATATAGATATACAACAGTTAAAGAAGCTTAAAATTATTAATACAAAAGTAAAAATTTCATACAAATCTCATAATTTTACAAAAAGTTACAACAATTTAAATACTAAATTTTATTACATAGATTTTTTAAGAAAGTTGAGACCAACATTAAAAACTTATAATAGGCACATGGTAGTTTTGTTATGGAAATTTATTGTTTAAAACTTTATTTGAAAGATACATAAAAAATGGACATAAAAATGTTAGAAAAATAATTTAACCTATCTTCATAACAAATGCACTTCCAGGTAGAAGAACAGGAACAATGTTTTTAATACAGATAAAGTAAATAAAAAAGTTACTATCAACTAACGATGAAAAAAGAGTCTCAGATTACTTTTAAATTAGAACCATAGACGTACATACCTACACATTGTGTTGTTTTTTTAATTAAACGTAAACATAGCAAATTCTGATAACACCATTGGTTCTTATAGATTTTTAACAATTTTTTAGTGTTTGAAAATTATGCTCATATAAAATTTGTAACACTAAAATTTAACAAACACTAAAATATTATCAAATGAAATTTAAAATCTGCTGATGAATTTAAATAAATTTGATATTATATTAGTTCTCACATTTGGGCAAAAGGATCTTTAAAGTTTTTGGTTTCCATAGTCTAATCACAACAAATTACAATACATTATTATTAGACATAAGCATGGCACAAACATACTTAATTTTGGAGTTTTACTCTACACTGAAAGTGTCATGTGAAATATCAAAAATCCTGTGGTCTAATTTAAAAAAAAAAACAATTTCTACCTAACTTACTGTGTTTTTTGAATGCAAAAATTATTTATTCATATAGCAAGTAATAACTTGTTTATCTTGTTCTTTTAAGTTGTTTTAATAACAATGTGTTTGAAAAATTTAATTTTCTATTCTTTTATTGATGTTTTTATTTTCATGTTATTTAATTTAAAATATTGCAATTTTCATGTTCAAAAAAACTACTGGAAAAAATTTTTTAATTAAATGTTGCCTAAATTACATGATAAAATCACTCTCAAAACTATTTTTTTAGAAACTTTAAAGTGTATGACCCAATTACACAGTCGTAGCATGGTAAAGTAACTAAGATTATTGTTTAAATATTGTTAGCTTTAATATATCCAGACTTTATATGTATACTAAATATCATTTATTGTATTAATTAATAATAACTGTAGCTTACGTTGGTTCAACCATGGTTTATTCCAGAAAGATTTTAAAAATCTTTTAAATGTTTTTGTCAGTTTAAAACAAGGAAGTATGCATTAAGATTATTAATGTAGGAGTCATTTGAACAACTGAGGCAACTAAATTTAATTAGAGTAAAAATCGTCAAAAGTTGAAAAAAGTGACGGAAATCATAGTGATAATAAATGTCGTATTCTTTAGAAGTTTTTACAAGAATTTAAAACGCTTATTTGTTAAAACCAGGGATTTATTATGTATTAGAGATTTTTATAAATTTAGAAATGATTGGAATGAATAGTTATGTTATTTTTAAAGTGGGTATTGGCCCCTCTCTTTTTTCCGAAAAGATTTTCACATTATTTATAAAAAAAAAAAGTTTATAATATTTTTTTCGATTTGTATTATCCAAATTACATACAAAATAACAGATCTTTACACTCGCCTTCAGTATGCAAGTGAATGTATCTGCTGGTTGGTGTTAAAATAAATTCTGTTTTCGTTCTGTGGTTTGTAACAAAACGTTCGCTCACAAAAAAACGGCTTTTCTCATCAAAAAAGGTGTTTATCTTCATGAAAGCATGACTTAAATATTATTATAGATGATGAATTCATTTGAACCATTTTTTATTGAAATGAGAATTCTAGAAATATACCTTAGATTTCCCTAACTTCGAACAGTCCCTAATTTCGAACAGTTCTCTTATTGTTAGATCTTTTTTTGTGTGAGATTTTTAAAAGTAAAACTGATTGATAAATTGGATGACAAGGCTAATGAGAATATGAAAAAAAAATTTAATTGCAAGAAAAACACTTTGTAAAACCCTGAAAAACCAAAAAATTAAAACCGATTTATCTGGAAAATCAAAAATTAGCGATACTTTGAAAGATATTCAAAAAACAGAACTTTTTTTGCATTGTTTAAACGTTTCTCCAATTCCTTTTTTTTTTTTGAGAGTGTGCAAAAGTTGGCTTTTTTACATTCAAGTAATAAACAAAAATTTTAACTTTAAATTAAAAGCAGAACTTAAAAACTAATAAACCCTTTTAAGTTTGATCTTTTCAACATCTTGTTTTTTAATGTATAAAAAAATATCAGCACTTGAAAAAAAAAAATGAAGATCGCAAAAGAAAACTTATTGTATTATTTTCCCACCTTCTTAACTACTAAAAACATAGCACCAAATAATATTTCTCTCAAACCTCCTTTATACAAACGAGAGATCAATGAAAACTCATACAAAAATTCAAAAGTTTACTAAAAAACAATGTTGATTAGAATCTTATATTGCAATCAAGCGATGTGAACAACGCCTACGAACATTTTCTAGGTCAATTTTGTAAATATTATGAAAAAGTGTTTCCAGTTAAAACTGTTGTTATAAACAAAAAATCACTTCTAACTCCTTGGATGTCTAAAAGTTAAATCAAATCTTCAAGAAAAAAACAAAAACTCTACGACAAATTCCTAAAAAATGAAATTTATAAAAATGAAATACAATTAAAGAGATAATCGGTAATAATAACTGCTCGTAATAATCGGTAATAATCGATAATAATAATAATAATAATAATAATAATAATAATAATAATAATAATAATAAGGCTCGATCTTGGGACCATTATTATTTTACTCTATATAAATGATTTATATTCAACATCAAACTTATTAAATTTAATCTTGTTTGCGGATGACTCCAATTTGTTTTATTCACAAAGAGACATTAAGACACTTTTTAACATAGTTAACAAAGAATTACATAAAATAAACAATTGGTTCAGATGTAACAAACTCTCTTTGAATGCCAAAAAAACCAAATTCATCCTATTTCATAAACCAAATAAAACGAAAATATTTATCATAAACTACCTGATCTAAAAATAAATAATACTAATATAAAAAGAGAAACTTTCATAAATTTTCTAGATGTGATTTTGGATGAAAATTTGTCGTAGAAGCTCCATATAAACACTTTAGAGAGAAAGCTCTCAAGAAATATTTCATTAATGTATAAAGCAAAACCTTTCCTAAATATCATTTCCTTAAAAGGTTTATACTTTTCATTAATATATAGTCACCTAAGCTATGGTAAGATGGTATGAGCAAGTACAAATTATACTAAGCTTAAAAAACTCTACAGTAAATAAAAACATGTTTGTAGAATTGTCTTTGGAGTAAGTAAAAAAGTGTCTTGTGAACCTCTCTTATGCAAACTTGGAGCATTGAATATATACAAAATTAACATACATCTTGTTTTACAATTTATGTACAAAATAAAATATGGACTATCTCTGCCGATATTTCAACCCTATTTTAGCGAAATAAATCATAAATACCCTACCAGATTCTCATATAACAACTTTGTCATCCCAAAATTTTCATTAAAGTTAAAGTCATACTCAATCCAACACCGCGGACCTTATTTGTGAAAAAATTTTCCCCAGATTGTTACTATCAACAGAAATACACGTGAATAGTTTAAATCTGAATCAAAGGGTTTTTTATTATCTACGGACTGAAATTTTCTTTTTCTTTTTTAGTAAAATAATATAAACTAGCACAATTTATTTCTTTTAATTGCTTTAACTTTTACTTGTTCTAAATTTATTTTACAATACGAATTTATATATAAACAGTTATATCAATTGTAAAACGTAGTTTTACACATTTTTACATATTTTATCACAAACAATTTATCAAGATTTTGTATATTTTATTGTAAAAAACGACCTGTAATGAAGTCACAATGGGGCTCGGTGATAAGACAAACTGATGACTTCTTCTTGTTCCAGCCATTTGTTTTATTATTTATGTTATTTTATAAACTATAAAATAACATAAATAATAAAACAATATATATAATAAATAAAAACTTAAACTTGGCTACAAGCATGCAAGCTATAGAAGTGGTGTCTTCGCAACCAACAATTATTGATGAATGGTTCACCCAAGTTGACGCTGTTTATCGAGACCATAATTTAAATGAAAAGTTGTTTTATGTGTTCAACTGTGATTAAAACGGATTGAATTTCGATTAAAATTCGATTAAGTCAACATTTTTGTTAAAAAGCAATAAAAATCCAAAACAACTTACTCAAACAAATGAAAAACAAATGACTACAATTTTAACATGTTGCGATGCTTTTAAAAATTTCCTACCACATCAAATCATTTACAAAGGTCAAAAAAAAAACTTCTGATGTTTATTATACTAACAGCAAATCAGGTTGGATGGAAATATTTCACTAAATGATATCCTTCGATTTTCTCAGTTCACGCAAACAAACTTTAAGGAGATAAATTTTTATTTTTAGATGGCCCATAACTTTTGAGTTAAAAAGATTATCTGATTTAAACAACATAGTTTTATTCCTATTGCCAGTTCACACAAGTCATTTTTTTGCAACAACAAGATGTCAGAGTTTGCAACAAAAAGATGTCAGAGTTTGCAACAACAAGATGTCAGAGTTTGCAACAACAAGATGTCAGAGTTTTTTAAAGTGTAAAAGCAGAATGGAAGCGAATTATAAAAGGTTACTAGATTGCGATAGCGATTGCGATCCCGGGATTCTGAAATCCCGAAATCCCGGCTTTTTTTTTTTAAATCCTGAAATCCCGGAACTGATTAATATCAATGCCGAGATTGATATTAAAGAAAACAAAGCTTCATGAAAAAACATAAAAATAATAACAATTTATGCGTATCAATAAAATAACTTTTATTTAGCATATTTTATCGAAATTTTAGAAATATTATCGAATTAAATTAGAGGAAGAAAAAAATTGAGAATCTTCCTAATATATCATATCGGTTAGCATATACACAATTCAAAAATTTAATACACTATCTTGTTTAAAAAAAAGCTAAGTTTTAAAATAATAATGATAAATTTTTTATAACATGTTTGCGGTATTTGCGATATTCACACTTTGCATAATTATATAATATTGTTTATATTTGTAATATAATAGTTCTATTATTACGCTCGATATACCAGTCGATATACCAGTCAGTTATATTTGTAATATAATAGTTCCTTTAATACGCTCGATATACCGGTCGACGATACCAGGGGGGCACTCCCTCTCCCCTCTTCTCCCCCCCCCTCCTCTACTTTTTTGTTAAGGACCTTTTTTTTTATTTAGAAATTTTACATATAGAGCTTCTTTTTTTTAATTAACGATTAGGCCTCTCTATTTTAAAACATGTGTCGTCGGCCCTGATACAAATTTATGTTGTTTGTAAAAAGTTATTTACATTAACACTTTTTAAATATTGGTGGTAAGCACCGGCGTTACCACAATGCGATTATGCGATAGTGATTTTTAGAAAAGGAATCGCGGGCGATTATTTACGATTGCAGTATTTAAGTAGATAATTGCGAAGCGATTACGATTAGCCGTTAACTAATTAAAATGCGAGTTTTTTTGATTTACAAGCACAAAAACCGTAGGGATTACGATTAAATTGCGTTTTTATTGTAATTCTCTCAATATACCACAACTGTATCAAAAAATCGGTATCATCAAATCACAAAAAACCAAAAAAACAACGGATTTTTTTTTTAAAAATCGCTGATGCAATTTAAAAAAAAAAAATTGCAAAGCGATTTTTATAGAGCAAATTGCCGGGCGATATAAAGCGCGTCGATTTTTATCTAAATAATCGCGAGCGATTATTAATACGATTTTTTTTTCCGCTGAAATCGGAAGCGCAAAATTGAAAAAAATTGTTTTTGTGCTAACCGCCAATGCGGTAACGCCAGTGCTTTGGCGGTATTAAAAATTTATTTAATATTGTTATTTATTCTGTTTTGTTCTGTAGTTCTACAAAATAATATTTTTTTCAAACTAAAAAAGGCGCGTTTATGATAAACTATTAAAATTAAAAATTAAATAAGCATGACATATATCAGCAACAAACAATATTAATATAACAAAAATTAGATTAGATAAGATTGTATTTATTAAAACATACAATACATGTTCTAAAGGACACGCAGATCCAGTATTGATGGACACTAACAGCGTGCTCCCCCCCCCCCAAAAAAAAAAAAAAAAATTATGTAACAGCGTACAACATTGTATAAATAATTTATATACAAGTAAACAAAAAGATATATAGTCAACGCCGACAA